CCAATGCCAATGTGAAGAAGGTTTTTCTCCACTGCTCATGCTATCAGCATTAAACTATTATGAGCAAGCTTATTATTTGTAAAAAAAAAAAAAATCATCAGATGCATTTGGTAGGAATAGAAAATTTATAGCTTCTCCCTTTTTGTAGCCCTCAAGCATTTTTCCTATTTCTATTTTTCCCACGCCATGGGTAGGAAACAGATGGAAATTGTACAGTAGGCATATGACAATCATTTTTTTTAAAGATCCCCCCAACCTAGCCTTGCCTGCCTATGTGGTATATCCCACCCACTTTACAATCTGATCTCCTTAAAAGCTGGACCACTTACTCACCAAAAGTTTAGTAGAGAAGTATAACACTGCTTTTTTCTCCTGACAAAGATTGGTTGAGTTTCTTATAGAATCAAAATGTGCATAATAGAGAAGATTATTATTTGTTTGATAGCAACAGTTAGATTTGGGAAGGGAGTTCCAAGAGCAGTAGTGCAAAATAAATAAGGTATATCACACTAGGATTTTCTCTTTTCTCTTTTTTATTTGTTTCTCTCATCTTACTAGAGGCGTGGTGGCACAGTGCCTGAATGACACTGGAGAGTCTCTGCTCCAGTGATTCAAGTCCTAGCATTGCATGGCAGAGTGAGCTCTTGTCTCTCACCTCAGCTTCTGCCCACCTAGCAGTTCAAAAGCATGTTCTATGTCAGTAGATAAATAGGTACCACTATTTACCTAACAAGCCAATGCTTCATGCAGCGGTTAGAATCCTGCCGGTACTGAATCTTTCCTGTTGCAACACCCATTTGTGAGGTGGCTTTGGTGGAAGGAGAGGGCCTTGGATGATGCTTCAGGAAAAGCCACTCATCTTTCTGGTGTGAAACTAACATGCCCTCCTGTGGTGCATCTTGGAAGCATGCAAAGGTGTACCTAAAAGAGCTAGTAAACAGGCAAGTACTTCTATAACTATTAGCATTATAGTCTCTTGGTTAATGCAACAACACCATGTGCAAAATTAAATAAATAAATAAATGTCCTACTAAGATTTTCTTCTTTTTTATGCATTCTTGGAGCCTGTGGGGCGGGAGCAGTGGTGGGATTCAGCCAGTTTGCACCAGTTCAGCAGAACCAGTAGCTATTTTTTTGTTGCCCAGGCCCAGAATGGACTTCTGGAAGTGGCATCCAGACAGTGAACTGGTTGTTCACATATCTGAATCCCACCACTGGGTGGGAGTAGCTTTTCTTTGTTCTAAAGGTTATATGTATACGATCAAAGCTTTGCTTATACTACTGTTTCCTATATTGCAAAATCTCTCAGATGTAACATGCTTCTGTACATGATTCTTAGCACATCCCAATTTAAACCCTGTATCAGTTTAGCCACTCCATGCAACTGATGAAGTGGGCTGAAGCTTATGGAAGTTTGTGTATTTTAAATAAAATGTTGTGAACTAGCACCTTCTGGTTTTCTGTGGATATAATGGAGACAAATGTGTTGAGCAGATTCAATTTCACAGAAACCTCAATTCAAGGTTGGTTCCCGGAATGTTTGTATATCTAGGTTAAACTCTGTGTTTGCAAAAAGCAAGAAAAATACATGTTGAAACAGATGGGCCCAAGCATTTATATGGTTGCTTTGTAGATGGTAATTGTCCATGGTCCCCTGCCAGCTTGCTAGCTGCACCCATCTATAAAAACATTTGTATAACTAAAGTATATAAATGGGAAGCTTTCATGCTTCCCGCAATTATACCCCATCTACATACCTTTTAAAAGTGATGTGAAGATAGCTAAAGTTTATTTGGAATATGGCTACCTGATCTGGCCTGCAGAATTCCAGATGTCCAGTAGATGAGAGCAGAGAGGTACAGAAAATTCTAAATTGTTGTTTCCATCTAGTGGTCATCTGGATTTCTGCAGCACAGATCTGATTGTTTTCTTAGAAAGTATATTGGGGAGTTAGAAAAAAATATCAGGGAGCAGGCTCAGTAGTTTTCTTTCTGGGAAATGAATATTTTCTGATATGTGCCTCTACTACCAGAGATAACTTCACTCACAAAAGGAATTGATCTAAAAGACTTGACTAAGAAGTATGAAAAACTACAGGCTTCACAGTCACAAATGTAACCAGTTAAATCCTCTCTTGGAGTCTTAAGACTAAGCCTATGCTTTTTCCTGGAAACAAGTGGAAAGGCTAGGCATAGGCAAAAAGTAAATCTTCAATTAAATATAGATCGACCAAGAAAAAGTTCAGATGCATGTAGGTAAGTCAGTACAAAGACTAAAAACATTGTGTTATTTCAAGTTGCCTGTTCCTTTTTGTGCTCAGTATCGTAGCAATAGGCCAGTATCTTCGAGTGTCTTCCAGATGTGTTGGATAGCTATGGTGTGGGGGAATTCTGGAAGACAGAGTTCAACACATCTGGAAGGCACCAAGTTGAGAAAACTTTAATAAAATATACATTATATAATACAAGGAATCGGTCAATTTGGATGGTCTAAAACCATGATTCATGTTTTGCCAACTTTTAAAATCCTCTATAAAATCCAAGTGCTTTCATGCATGAGGACTTTAAAACAGGTGGATAAGTGAGTTCTTTATGATTTCTTTTAAGAGGGAGGTCAATGCTTCTAGTTCTCAGTCTAAAAGAACTGGTACAGGATGTATTGCTGGCCTGCCTATTTACTTAGTTTACAAAAGACAGATTATTATTTGTAGGCAGGTCCAGTTTGCACTCTCTTTAAAGTTAAGCAACATGAAAAAAACAGAGCAAGACCTTCAAGCTGTCCATCAATCAGCAGCATCATTTAGACAATAGATTGAGTAGATATGCAAGTCCCAGATTGTAATATTTTGAACTGGTCAAATGGATTTCTATTTAATTTTTTATAATTTGTAGCATATGAAAATTCTTATGTCAATCCCTTTTTTAAAATCTTCTTCCTTCCTTCCTTCCTTCCTTCCTTCCTTCCTTCCTTCCTTCCTTCCTTCCTTCCTTCCTTCCTTTCTTCCTCAATGGTACTACATCCACATGGACAGAAGTAAGCAGTGGGATATCACAAGTCTCCATCCCAGTACTCTTTAATATCTTCATAAATGACTTAAATGAAGGAATAGAAGGGGAACTCATCAAATTTCAAGATCACACTAAACTGACAAGAATAGCCAACACCCCAGAAGACAAGCTCAGTATTGTGTAGTGGGCTTCAGTAGGCAAGGAGCAGACCAGTTACAACGTTATTTATTGACTCAAACTAGAACTGGAGAACTGCAGGCAATTGCCTGTAATTTATACTCTGAGCCCACAGGGCCTTAACCGATCACAATACTTGAAAAACCCGCCCAAATATGAATGTTCAAAGTTTCCCTCCAAAACAGTTGGAGTTAACAGTCAGGGTCATCTAAAGGTTAGTTTCACTGGTCGCGGGGTAGAATGGAGCAGATGTTACATGTCGAATCATGTTGGCATTGAGGAAAGATTAAAACTCTCCTGCCATGAATTGTGCCCTGTTGTCGGACACAATTACATCTGGCAGACCATGTGTGGCGAACAGCTGGCGCAACTCTTGGATGACTCTTGTTGTCATCAATGAGACCGGTACCACTTCCAACCACTTGAAATAACTATTTATTACAATTAGGAACACCTGCCCTTGGAAGGGACCCTCAAAGTCAATGTACACGCGAGATCATGGGGCGTGCATGGTCTCCCAGCAGTGCACTGTTGCTTCTGGCATCTCCGGTTGGGTTTCTTGGCAAGCCTGGCAACTCCTTACTTGATTCTCAAAGTTCTTGTCCAGGCCTGGCCATCACAAGTAACTCCTGGCTAGGGCCTTCATTTGAACAATTCCTGGGTGCCTCTCGTGTAAGGAATCCAGCACACTGGAGCGAAGACTGGGTGGAATGATGATCCTGCTGCCCCACAGCACACATCGCTTGTGAGCCGACAGTTCATTTTTCCGAGAAGTGTAATGATAGAACTCAGGGCCTGGCTGGGTCTTTAGCCATCCCCTTAACACTCAGTGGAGAATGCGGCTAAGCGTTCTGTCCATGGTGGTTTCAGCTGCAACAACCCCTGCATGTAGGTGTGCTTCAGACAGGTCCTGGATTGCCAGGATACGAAAGCTGCGGCTGGGTCCGGATCAGTCTGCAGTAGAGGCAGTTGGCTGAGATCATCAGCATGGCCCATTTCCTTATCCGGCTTGTGGACTAGCCAGTACAAGTATGCAGCCATGAAAATGGACCATCGTAGCATTTGCAGCAACAGGATCTGTGGTGTCTGTTTGTCTGCTGTGAAGAGACCAAGCAGAGATTTGTGGTCTGTAAAGATGGTGAAGATTCGTCCATATAAGAAATCGTGGAACTTCTTAATGCCAGCCACTATGGTGAGGGCTTCCTTGTCTATCTGGGCATAGTTTCTTTCAGCCAATGATAACATTCTAGAATAGTATGCGATGGGGGCCTCTTTTTCATCTGGCATCCTGTGGTTTAGTACTGCCCCAATGCCATATGGCAAAGCGTCACAGGCTAGTGTAGGTTTTTGTTGAAATGAGCTATGAAGGAGTCCGATGATAACAATGATTTTACTGCCTTGAATGCTTTGTCTTGGGTTTGCGACCAGACCCAGGGTGTTTTTTGTCCATTAGGTGGTGTAGTGGTTCTGCCAGGACAGCCTTATGCAGTAAGAAGGAGTGGTAACAATTGAGCAAGCCCAGGAATGCTTGTAGCTCCCCCTTGGATTTTGGTGTGGGGGCTTGCTGAACTGCCTTTAGCTTTGCGTCAGATGAGTGGATTCTGGTAGCATTGATGCAGAAACCCAAGAATTCTGTGGATTCCACGCCAATCTGGCACTTTTCCTTCTTGAGTTTTAGACCTGCCTCGTGGAAACGGAGTACTGCACAGAGACGTTCCGCCAGGACTGCTGCTGATTCCCTGCAATCAGGACGTCATCAAAATATGGGCAGACGCTGGGAATGTTCTTCAATGTTTGTTCCATAATACTTTGGAACAAACCTGGTGCTACACTTACTCCAAACTGCAAGCAGCACATTCGGAATGCACCTCTGAGTGTGACGATTGTTTGTTCTTCTGAGGTAGCATCATCTACCGGTAGCTGCTGGTAAGCCTGGGTGAGGTCTAACTTAGCGAAGATTCGACCTCCCTGAATTCTGTTTTCCAAGACCAGTTTAAGTCACATGAATCCTGAAATTTTAAATCGTTTCTCTTTTGTGGTTTCTACCAAAGAATTGGGTTTATATTTTCAGCAAAATAAGGATAATCTTATCCTTCACTCCTTTCAAAGACCTGAACCAATTAAATGTTAGAATTTATTATCAAGTTAGACTATAACCAAATTAAAGAATTAAACACACATACACACCCACTCACAAAGAGATATATATTTTATATATAACTACATTTTAGCTGAAGACTTTGGATGATTTTTTCTCATTTTTGTGCATTTGGCCTAAATTTTGTGAATGATTGCTTGTTTCTAATGAGGATCATTAATTTGGACATATTTGTGATGCTACTAAAATTCCTGCTAGACAGGAATTTTAGATAGAATTGCTAAACAGAATTCCAGGGCCAAATCATTGCTTTGAAAATTAATGTGGGAAAAACTGAAATAGAATTGTTAGGCCAGACATAGTCAGTTTATCTAAAATGAGTGAGGTTGTTACTGTTTGGAGCCATAGCAATTTAACTGTCTTGATGGCATATAGTATGAAAAATTCTTCAATCTCCTCCAGGTTATTCAGTTATATTTCCCTACAAGCAATAGTGAGTGATATTAATGATTTTTAGCGTTCTTCCTTTGATATCAGTGTATGGGAAAAGATCAAACAATGCTAAGGATGTATTGGAACAACACTGAAAAACAAGGAGGGAAATTCAAGAATAGAACAAGAAGGAAGAAAATATGCAGGCACAAAAATGGTTAAAATAAATAAATAAATAAATAAATGAGTTTTCTTCTTTGAGCTACAATATCAAGAATGTAAATAATATACTAACAGTTTTTGATTTCTGGTGCTAAACCATTTTTTTAATATAATATTTTATTGGTTTTCCAGTTTTACATTTGAGTATTTGGAAAGCAGCATGGTGATTGGGTGGTCAATAGTTCAATAACAAAATGTTTAGTACATGTCTCAGGTTACATCATCAAATATTCCTTCTCTATTTCCCTTAACATTTGCTATATCATATTTAAGCTAATAAATTTGTATCAAACTCAGTTAAAACTTCATTATCACATTTATCAATACAGTACATTTTTGCTTATACATATCCATATCCTGTTTTTAAGTTTTACCTAATTTTTAGTTTTTAATTGCAGTACTCCAATTTAACCTTTAATATCCATAGTATTTGAGTTTCGGGTAGCCCAAATTTCCTTTGTCTCACTACATAAAAGTTATAATATATAAAATACACATATTACTTACTTAAATATATTCTTATTTTATTTCATAAACATTTTCTATTTCTCATCCTAGTGCATCACCACTTAATAATGGCATATCCTTTGTTAGCTCAGGTCCATCATCTGTATTGTCTGGGCTAAACAATAATTCAAAGCTATTTCCCAATAGTTAGTTTTCATTTCCCTTATTAGTCTAAATCAGTGATGGCGAACCTTTTAAAGACTGAGTGCCCAAATCTCAACCCCAAACCCACTTATTTATTGCAAAATGCCAGGGCCACATCAGCATTGTGGTGCTCTCAGGGGGGGCAGGGAGGCACCTCTGAATGCCACCTCTGGCACGCAAAAACCAGGGGCACAAAAATGAGCCACCGTGCTGCAAGGCACAAAAATGGCTGCCGTCGCACCATGAGGTGCAGATACTGCACGTAAGAATGGGGCAGGGATACTGAGTATCATGCAGGCACTAGCCCCACCCCATTTGCAGCAGGTGCTTGCTCATGGCCCCGTGTGCGTATGCACGCATGTAAAATGCTTCCCCCTCCCTTTTTTTCCATTTTAGAGAGTGGGGGGGGGGAAATAATTCCCCTCCCTCTCTCCTCACAGAGGGAAGAATTTCAAGAAGCTTTTAACAGGAAAGTTACTTGGGATATAGAAAAGGTAGAGTCATCCAATTCCTCCGCGTTGCTTTCAAAGTGCTTGTTTGTAATTTTGGTCTTGGCTGGTAGCAGCTTAGTGATGAGCCATGTTGATGGCCGATCTTTTCACCGTCGTTAGAAGAGCTGCCCCGGATCAAATGGGAGGGTTGCCACCCTTCTGCGATCACTTGGGGGTCCTCTTCATGCTCGTCGCCCCTCCATAATATTGTATTATGCTTCTGTTAGTTCTGGAATAGGAGCAGCAAAGATAAATGGAATTTGCTAGTGCGTCTTAGGATAATTTGCTTGAAATCAACATGTGTATACTTGCTCAACAATAATAACATCAAGACTTTTGGTGTGGATTTTGTTATACTGAATTATTTTACCAGAACATTTTGGGGAATGACTCTAAGTATTAAATTAAATCTGGAATGATTTAATTTCTTGAGTTTTGTCTTGTTCTGTTCTATTTGCAATATATCTGAATAAGCAATGTTAGCAATGAAAACTGTCACATGATGATGTAGTTTTATTAGTGTATTGCAACTTAGATACACTCCATGGACTGCAGCTGAGTTTCTTATACACATTCAAAACACTTGAATTAAAAAAGAAAAGCTTTTCATTATTTCAAATACCTTTTGATTAGTACTTTATTAGTAATTTATAGATAGAAAGTATCCTGGACTCATGATTTCTGTATGGTGAAGAAATGCAACTCTATGAATTGATAGATCTCCTTAATAACAACTATTGCAACATTTTGTAGTACTTTAGGACAGCTGGGTTTATTGTTCTTGTCTGGAGTGTGTGCTTCCTTTTCTATAGGGATGTATATGTATAGCCTGGCTTTTTAATTTCTTAAAACTTGCAAAGACAATCATGCTGGCACTATCTATTTTGCAAATTGTGCATGTAAATCAATATTGAAATAATATTGCTATAGCTGAAGTGTCTCTTGCAGAAGTGTTGTGCTATATATTTGGGACATTATTTGGGTTGTGCATGTACAGTATGTGTGATTCAGGAATGAAAATCCATGGAAATGTCTACAAACCACTACTCACCTTGTACACAGGTTTTTAAAATGTCAATAAGTAGACGCAACATTTTTAAACTCATGAAAGCTGAATTTGTCCCTTAAGCAAAGACCTTATGTGTTTTGTTTGACTTTGATATGTCAGCCCATCAGTTATAGATTGTAAAACATATTGATTAAATTTAGCCTATTGTGATGGTTTCAAACCATGCTTAAGAAAACTATGGCATAGTGCAATCTGAGAGCTTAGACACAGATCTTCATCAATGTACACACTAGAAGTTGAAGGTCAAATTTCAAAGTGGAAAGATTGCCTTAAAATTATTTTCTGATAATCTCCAAACAATATTTTCAATTCTCACCAATATACTTGGATTATAATGTTGTACGTATTATATGCAGCAAAATATCTAGGCTACTTTAGCTTGCTCACTGCCTTGATGTTCAGTCATACCAAAACTGTTAAATGTATTATTACCCAAATCATTTAAAAAGTGATATAATTACATATGAGTAAATGTGTTTATAAATCAGTTCCCAGAGTAGACAGAAATTGGCTATATTGCTCTACAAATTCAGCTGGACCTTGTCTTATCACAGCTTCAGATAGCTAAGTTTATTTTGTTGTTTTGCAACAAAAACCTAAATTCAAATCGGCAGCAATTGAGTTATTTCAATTTATGCTAAGTATTCCCATGTCCTGCAGTAAGCACTGTCATTTCCCAGCATTTCTTAAAATGTTGTTTCATGCTCGATTGATGGTTTTCCCCACCTGAACACTTTCCTTTGAGTTGTATCTTTGCAGCACTTCCATGCAACACAAAGGATATTTTCAAGACATCTGTGCAAGACATTGTTGAGCACCATTTAGCACTGTCCTAACCAGTTATGATTCATTTTTATATAAATGGAAAAATGTATAAGCCTTCAAAAAAAACTTTTTGTTCCAGTTGTTATCATGGTGTGTTCTTTGGTAAAAGAACAGGAAAATTATTAAATTATTAAATGCATGACTAAGCTATATATTTTAATTTAAATATGTAATTTGTCCCATGCTCTTTAATAATTTATAATTCTATACTATGAGTATAATTTGATGTGAGATTCAATAGCAAGGCTGGTGGCATAGAGGGGAGTTACAAACTTGTCTTTGGCCTCAGGAAGCAAAATGTCAGAGACTCATTATCTGCTATTACTACTGAGATGAAGAACTTCTGGTGAGGTTCTGTCATTTATGATTTATCTATTGCTATTGTGCCAGATTATAAAAAACAAACAAACAACGATTTGTTTAGGATAGTATCTCCCAAAATATGACTTATGAACTCCCTGTTTTACATCCAATCTTTGATTAACTAAGGGTATGTGTGAATATTGAAATTAAACCAGACAAAGATGTCTAGAAATGCCCATTTTTGTAGGTTCCTTCTCATTTCAATCTCAGAATTTTAAGATTAATTTAATCTTAAATATAGGCCTGTTGGAGTCAAAATTACTTCCCTCTGTAATCATTGTTGGGATCTTTAAACTATTTTTTTCTGTTAGCACATCATCTTTCACAGGCCAATACAACATATTTTGCAAAAGGGAAATCTATGAGAACCATTAGAGTGGGTGGGTTTAGGAATTTTAAAAATGTTTTTTGTCATTGAACATATCTCTACTGTCATCATCAGATTACATTTTTTATAAAATTAGAATTTGGGTTACATCCAAAATATAATTTATTGCTTAGGTGTTGCTACTGGACTTAAGGCTGTCTTCTTTTACTGAAGATAAAACATGTGTTATGAGAAATAAACAAGCCAGCATATTAGGAACAAAGGAAATTCCAGAAAAGAACAGAGAAATTGTATATTTTGTTTGATATTCTGGATCTGCCCAAAACCTGAATTTGATGCTTTTACAAATTTTCTCTTTACTTGTTTTATCTTTCATCTAGCTTGGGTTCAAATGAAATTGCTTAAAACCTCTTCTTTATAAGATTTATATTCATAGTAATTTTCCTG